TCACAGCTTCTCACCCTGTCTGCTTATCAACCAGTTTAGGCCCTCCACTCCACCACATTCTCCCTTCTCCCGCTTCTCCTCACAGCTGTCTCATTCTCCCTTCCTCATTCCTCACCAGTTCTTCCCCCTCCTTCTTCTCCACAGCTTCTCCCTTCTCCCCCATCTTGCCTCCGCCAGCCTTCCTTCTCTCCCTCCTTCTCATCAGCTTCTCCCCTCCTCCTTGCTCACAGCCTTCATCCTCTGTCCCCCTCCTCCACCTTCTCCCTTCTCCCCTTCCTCTTTACCAGCTTATCTCCATTTCCCTAACTCATTCTCCACCCCTTCTCCTCTCTTCTTCTCCCAGCTTCTCCCTTCTTCCCTCTGCTCCACAGCTCCTTCTCCCCTCCTCCCTTCTCCTTCCTTCACCCAGTCCTTCTCACGTCCTCCCTTCTCCACTAGCTGCTCTCCCGTCATCATCCACCTTCTCGCTTCGCCCCTTCCGGCCTTCACAGCTGTCTCCTCTTTCTTCCTTCCCATTCGCACCAGCTTCTCCCCTCCTCCTTCTCACAGCTTCCTGCCTTCTCCCCCTCTTCCTCCGCCAGCTTCCTTCTCTCCCTCCTTCTCCAATACGCTATCTCCCCCTCTCCTTTTCCACAGATTCTCGCCTCCCCTCCTCCACTTCTCCCGTCTCCCTTCCTCTTTACCAGCTTCTCCTCTCCTCTTCCTCATTCTCCAGCAGCTATCTCCCTTTCTCTTCTCTACCGCTTCTCCCTTCTCCCCCCTCCTTTCTCGCCAGCTCCTTCTCCCCTCCTTCATCCAACGAGCTTTTTCCCCCTCCACCACTGTCTCCTTTCCCTTCCTCCTCCACCAGCTGTCTCCGCTTTCTCCACAGTTCTTACTTATCCCCTCCTCTTCCGTCTCTCCACAGCCCTTCTCCCTCTCCTCCACACCTTCTCCCTTCTTCCCCTGTCCTCTCCGCCCACTTCTTACCCTTCTTCCCATTTCCTCATCTCACCTAGCTTCTCCCCCTCCTCCTTCTACCACATGCTTCTCCTTCTCCCCGTCTGTCTTCGCCAGCCTCGTTCTCTGCCTCTTTCTCCGACCCCAGCTCTCTCCCTTCTCCCTACTCATTCTCCACCAGCTTCGCCCCTCTCCTTCGCCACCCGCCTGCTCCTGCTCCCCCTTTCTTTCCGCCAGTCCTTCTCTCACGCTCCTTCTCCACCAGCTTCCTCCCCTCCGTCCACCACCTTCTCCCTTCTCCCCTTCCTCTTTCTCCACCAGCTTCTCCTTTCCCCTTCTCATTCTCCACCAGCTTCTCCCCCCTTTCTCAACCAGCTTACTGCCCGCTCCTCCTTCGGCCACAGCTCTTCTCCTTCTCCCGTTTCCTTATTGTTCCATTAGCTTTTCTCCTGTCCTCATTCTCGACCGCCTTCTCCCGCTCCTCCGTCTCCACCGAGCTTTCCTTTACTCCCCTCCTCTCCACAGCTCGTCATTTCTCCTCCTTCGCCCTTCCTTTTCTCCACCAGTTCTCCCTCTCCCCTTCCTATTCTCCACCAGCTTCTCACCCTCATCTCCACAGCGTCTCGCTCCTCTTCTCCACCAGGCTCTCCCTTCTCCCTTCATTATTTGTTCACTAGTTCTCCCCTTCCTCATCGCACCAGCTTCTCCTCTCCTCCTTCATCCACACCTTCTCCCTTCTCACCCTTCCCTTCTCACCAGCCGGTCTGCCTTCTCCTTCCTCATTCTTCCACCGGCTTCTCCCCCTTCCTTCTCCATCCAGCTTCTCCACGCCTATCTTTCTACGGCTTTCTCCGCTCCTCCTATCGCCACCAGCTTCTCCTTCTCCTCCTTTTGTTCATAGCTTCTCCTTGCCTCCTTCTCCACAGCCTTCTCCTCTACTCCTGCTTCACCGCTTCTCCTTTCTCCCCCTCTCTCACAGCTTCCTTCTCTTCCTCCTTCTCCCTCTCCTTTCACCAGCTTTTCTCCCTCTCCTCCTTCGTACACCCTCGTTCTCCCTCTCCCCCCTCCTCTTGCTCCACCAGCGTCTCCCTTCTCCCTTCCTCATGCTTCACCAGCTTTTCCCCTCTCTTCATCCACAGCTCTCCCCTCCGTCCACCACCTTTCTCCTTCTCCCCTTCCTCCTCCTCAGCTTCTCCCTTTCACCAGCTTCTTCCTTCTCCCACTCCTACTTCTCCACAGACTTCTCCTTTCTCCCCTTTCCTCTTCTCCGCCAGCTGTCCTTTCTCCTCTCTCCTCCACCAGCTTCTCCTTCTCCGTCCTCTCCACCAGCTTCTCCTTTCTCCCTGCCTCCTTCCACACCTCCCTTCTCCCGCCTCCTCCTTTCCTTCCTTCTCCATCAGCTTCTTCCCATCCTCCTTCTCCACCACTTCTCCTTTCCCTTCTTCCATCCACCGCTCTCTCCCTTTCCTAGTTCTCCACAGATTCTGCCCTTCCTCTTCTCCGCCAGCTTCTCCTTCTCCCTCCTTCTCCTCCAGCTTCCCTTCTCCTCTTCCTCCTTTCTCCACAGCTTCTTCAACCTCTCATGCTGCACTAGTTCTCCCTACTCCACCTACTAGTAGACTACTCTAACTTCTCCTCCCTCCCCTCCATACTGCTTACCACTGCCCTCCTTCGCCCTCCAAAAATGCCTGACCAGCAACTCGAGAGTACTGACGATGTGTCCACTGATACGCCCAACGCCGATGCCGCCGTTAGCGCATCTTGGCGGTGGGCGTTTGCAGTTAGTTTCCGACGCCTAAACCTAATGGTTTACCTATATAATATATATATATAAAATATATATATAATATATAATTATATAATATAAATATATATATATTTCTAAAGGAATTCCCATTGGCTGTAATAAATTAGTTTTGTTAGCGCCATCTACAGGCAAATATCAGCGCAGGCTCGTTTGCGGTCCCTGAGATGAAAATCGAAGAAAGGTATCGAATAACGTTAAATCTATTCCGCTAGTTCATTTACACAGATCTTGCGTCCACCATCTGCGACGGATTACACCGAGCTTATCTACAGCCTATAAAAATGCCATCTCGAGCAGAGGATATATTGAAAGGCTTCAAACTGTATCCTTGTTTATTTATGTTTTCACCTGCCAGTGCCGAGGGGGGGATTAGCCATTAGGCATTACCTGGCACTGGCACTGGCAGGTTGAATGACGATTGTCATAGTCCTAGCTAAAATACGAATGGTTAATAATATTACTGCTGATGTTATACTGGCTAGTTGGCTTCGTGTTATTTCTTACGGTTTTGCAATATACGAGTGACTGGAATCGATAATAGAACAGTAGGCCTACATCACATATGATATGACATGTGTCATTGTATGCGTCTAAACAGAGGAATTTCGGCATTGCTCCGACCTGTGATTGGATAAAATTAAATAATAAAATTAAATATGATTAAACGTAGAACAAGTTTGGATGCCCCAACAGAACCTTCACCATGACCATGCAGAGAGCGGCTCTTGAAAACCCTCCTGGGGTTTGGGTGCAGCAGCTTATTACTATAGTTCAGCTTAATAAACAGTACACTGGAGATACTTTAGGGAGCAGGATCAGCTGCACTCGCAACCTATAAGCATCGGGATAGCCGATGTATTCCTTTTTTTCTTTTCTTTTTTTGCAGGGACAATCCGATCTAAAGGTTACTAGTCCATGGGTGGCGATACTAGTATACGGCTGTCTAATGATCCCGGCGCTCAATGCGGAACGTTACCCTGGGTGCGGTCCGGTTATACCGGAACCTAACCTACGGTACTATCTATATATGCCGTACCGTACCTACGCCTACTCGATAATCGAGTCTAGGGAATCGCCTCACGCCTACGTTCCCTCCCTACCCGTAACCCGTAAGTCCTAACCCTCAATCCTAACCTACCATAATCAATTTTAGTGACCAGGGTACGTTCCGGTTATACCTGACCAGTAACCCAGGGTACGTTCGGCAGTACCCTGGGGACATAGCACCTATCAGCCTCTAGCTTACTGCTATTACGATGGCCCTTCACTGCTATTTTTTAAGAGCTGCAGCATATAATCAAAAATTTTGCGAAATATATCAATGATCGTTAGGTAGCCTTCACTGCGTCGGTGGTCAAGACAGTGTAAGTAGGTGTCAGTTTGTTTTGAGGGAAAATTAGCCAAAGGACATGTTCATCCCAGAGTATGGCAATACTCTCCAGGGATGTGAGTCCTTACATATATAACTGATACTCCTTCTGGAAGAACAAAAAACAGGGAGATTCTTTAACGAGCATTATTTCAGTAATTGGATGAATCTCAGAGATGCTGACAGTGGCAAGATCCTCTGGCAAAGTAGTGATGATTTGTAAGTGCAGCGATGCCCCATGTGGAGCATATATGTAGTATATAATTATATATTGCACTAATATATTGCAATTATAGGCAATATTGCAAAGAAGCAATGATTTTTTAATCCTAATATAATGAATGCAGTTAGGGATAATATAAATATACTGGTATAATTGGTACATACATAATTTTGGAAATAACTGTTAATATTTCCACAGTCAATAGTGTATTACTCTGTAAAAAATCTATCTATGTATTGGATGTGTGTGAGATTCATGATGTTGATGTGCTTATTTTTATGCTTCAGATCAAATCCAACTTTAGACCATGAAGGTAAATCAACGCTTCTGTTACATGCTCATCGCCTATCATCTTGTTATCGTTTACTCGCATCCAAGTAGTTCTCAGTTTTAGGTGTTTAGGCAAGTTTAAGGTTGATCCCTGCAGTCTAAAAGTTGTGTGCCCGGAGTCATGGGCGCCAACGTGCATTAATCCTAGAACTGAACACATCTCTCACGTAACTGCTGCATTGTGCCTTAGTCGATACAACCATAAACGCATTTAAAACTTTACAACACATATCTTGAGGTTTGCCTGCACCTGATGAAATGGCAAATCTTTTTCCCACTGTGTGTAAATTTCAGTTGTTCTCTATTTTAGCTCGCGTGCCAAAAAAAGTATTGAAGTGTCGCGCGGTGTCGAGGGAAGTAAACTTTTCCTCGAAAGAACCAATGGAAAAGTTCCGACTAGAACAGAAAGTTTTATTCAAGGGAAAGTGTATTGAAGGTATGTCACTGCACGAGAATGCATAGCTGTTTGCGAGCTTAAAGGTTCAGTGAATTCGTTATCAATGTGTAATTAGTGTAGTCATGTGTATATATACTAATCTGCATAGATATTTTCAATATAATTCTATGAGTAATTAATTGTTCATGGGCCCAGCTAAAATAAACTCTATAGCTGCACTTGAATAGTTTATCAAATCTGTCATTAGGGGGCAGCACTTACATTCTGATAGTAAGTTTGCGCGTTGACGACTGCTAAATTGTAAGCAATACACGATTTTCCCCCGTGTGCTTTTTTAGAGTGGTACTTTGATTTTGGATTTGTCATTCCAAACTCCACAAACACCTGGCAATCGTTGATCGAGGCAGCCCCAGAGTCACAGATGATGCCAGCAAATGTTCTCAAGTAAGTATCATAAATGTGTCTGTGTGTGGGCGTGTGATTGCGTGCGTGTGTGTGTTGTGTGTGAGTGTGTTCATGTGTGCATGTGTGTTGTGTGCATGCGTGTGCGTGCGTCTGCATGCGTGCGTCTGCATGCGTGCTGTACATGTGTGTGTTGTGTGCGTGCGTCTGCATGCGTGCTGTACATGTGTGTGTGCGTGCATGCATGCTGTGTGTGCGTGCGTGCGTGCGTGCGTGCGTGCGTGGGTGGGTGTGCGCGTGCGTGGGTGTGTGTACGTTTTAATTCACAGGTTCCTAACTACTGGCCTTTAACTTACCTCAGACGAGAACCCAGGGTCTAATGTGTACCTCAGCACCCCCGTGGCACCTGGTGGTCGTGCCCCCCCTCCCCTCCCCCCAAGCCACGATGGCGTAGCAACAGCAGCAGCAGCAGCAGCAGCAGCAGTGGCAGTAGGAGCAGCAGCAATAGCTACAGCATAAGTAAGAGCAGTAGCAGTAACAACAACAGCAGCAGTTGTAGTAGCAGCAGCAGCAGCAACATCAACAGCAGAAGCAGCAGCAGCAGCAGCAGCAGCAACAGGAGCAGCAGCAGTAGTAGCAACAGCAGCAGCAGCAGTAGTAGCAACAGCAGCAACAGCAGCAGCAGCAGCAACAGCAGCAGCAACAGCAGCAGCAGCAACAGCAGCAGCAACAGCAGCAGCAACAGCAGGTCATTTACGTATCAGAACCGTTGCCGCTTGTTCCGCTTTGCTATCGCTTGCTTTGCCCCGACGTGCCGCAGCTGTGCGGGTGTTTGTGGGTGGGTGGGGGACCCTAATTGACTGGGAGTGGGAGGGAGGGAGAATGGAGCTTAAGTTTGTCAGGCTGCGTTATTGGCAGAAAGCCAGCTGGCGTACAGACCTGTATGTAACCTACCTCAGGAAGTGTGGTGTTGGTCGCTACGCTGCAGCAAGAGACCAGTTGCTTTGCTTCGCTTAATTTACCAGCAGTAGCAGAAACAGCAGCAGCAGCAGCATCAGCAGCAGAAACAGCAGCAGCAGCAACAGTAGCAGCAGCAACAGCAGCAGCAGCAGCAGCAGCAGCAGTAGCAGCAGCAGCAGTAACAGCGGTGGCGCACACACAATCCCCGAATATCGGTGGGTTGTGGATGGAATGGAGCGTGTCGTCGACGCTCGTGTTAGTACTTACGTCACAGACGATAACTAGCGTCGCTAGTCGCCATGACACCTTACTAACATTACCAGCTTACCGTTAAGAGAGAGAGTAAGAGAGAGAGAGAGACGGGTCACAGAAGCATAATATCGCGGTAGAGAGGGTAGTGAGATTGCGCCCCCTTCCCCACGCACCCCGCTGCATAACAGACATTCTGTGTCGGCGATGGTGGCGACACCTGCCAGCAGTTCATTTCAGCTTTACTAGATAGGTGGAGATTGACGTGTGACAGGCTGGGAAACATGCACCGAAAGAAACACACACACACACACACAAAAAAAGATTTCAGTACCCATTCGAGTGTATGTATGTATGTATGTATGTTTGTATGTATGTATATATATATATACACGCACCACTGACGAAGTACCATGACGTTATATTATTTTTACCCGTACCGTTCTGTACTACCCCCGAAAATCATGACTCATCACATTTTTAGAAATTGACAGTGTTTTTATTATCTTCATATATATATTATACATATATATATATATATATATATTATAAACATTCTATGATATTGAACGTTTTATTGGAACGGTTGACGACGAAGAAAAAAATACAATCAGATGGGAAGTGTAATTAGTTAGCGTTAATTAGAACATTTTAACGTCGAGATCAAGTGTTTTACTCGCGAGCGCGCTCTGTATTTAAAAACGAGTTGCATGCCTGAGGTTTGAAGGTTTTGCGTCGTGTAGTTTTTATTCGTGGACGGGGATCAGTGACCGATGATGACACGCCCCCCCCCCCCGTCGCTCTCACGCCGCGGCGCCGTGCTGCGGATTTTATTCTTCGTGAAGATTTTAACCGGCATGTGAATAGGCTTTCGGTTTTGTTACAGTTTCTATCAGTCCCTTCCTGGGCACGCATGCGTGGCGTGGCCGCGGGCGCAAACATGTCTGCCGCAAGGCACAAACATGTCCGCCGCAAGGCACAAACATGTCCGCCGCAAGGCACAAACATGTCCGCCGCTAGGCACAAACATGTCCGCTGCGCGCGCGGCGCCACGCGTCGTCGCCCGGTGGCGGGTCTCCTTTCTCTACTCCTGCTCAAGCCCTTCTGTTGGTTATTTTGTATCTAGTAACAGTGACTGTACTATCGTGTAAATACGGCGCGTGCCAGGGCAGGCGCGGACGCGGCGGCGGTTACCGCGTGAGAGAGTGTAATATATTAGGCGTGCACGTGCGCGTGCGCGGCTCGCGTCTGCCCGGCGACGACGTCACCCTTTCTTTATACAGTGTATTTATGTAAATCTGAGGTCATGTTTTTATCGGAGTTTCTCCCCCTTCCTCCTTCGTCTCACCGGCCTCGATCCCGTCGCTAGACGTCCGCGGGATCGGCGCCACCTGGTGGGGGGCAGCCGAACCCCGCCGGCCGGTTGGCTGCGTTGTTTTCTAGTTGTCATTTTCCACTGACGGGTTGACGGTTGTCACGGAAGTCGAACCTTAGACGTCGCGAAGGTGCTGGAACGGACTGTCGCGCCCACTGGTGCCATTTCTTCTCGCTTGTGCGTGTGCACCAAACTCGCTTCCCTAACCGCTGTCCGCTGTTATCACACACGCACGCTTTTTCCCCCGAGAGAGCGAGAGAGAGAGAGTAGATGTTGGTGGGCAACGTTACTGCAGAATTATTCGTATACAGGACGACCCAGAAACTTTTATATATGAGTTACGGAGGTTTATCCGGTATTGTGCCAATTTTACGTGTAGTTTTGTGCCCCGTTCTAGCAAGATGTTTGCGACGTATCCGGCAGTTCGCGCGCATCTGGTTCGACTTCCTGATCCGATCTGTCGACCCGACATGTTTTCTCATACAGCCCCCCCCCCCCCGTTCAGATGTCTATAGATTTTTGTAAGAATATTATTGTACAGTATATAACTTCTTGTAAAACGGTGGATGCGTCTCTGATTCTGTCATGACATATTTTTATGTGAAGTAACGTCGTGTTCTTTCTTCTTTCGTGACGCGATTTTAGCGAGCGCGCGATCATGAACGATCGCGCAGCAAAAACAGTGAGTTTTTTCTCCCGTTGTTCATCCTGTGTTTTGTACCGTGTTTTATCCCCGCCGGGGGGGCGCTGTGGGTCGCGATAGCGGCGTGTGTTCGGGGCGCTGTGCCCCCCACTCACGGCAATACAAGAACATGGCACACGCATTTCGACCTCCCCCCCTCCTCTTCCTTCTCACCACCGTCACCTCTCCGTACTTTCCCCGATCAGGTGCCGCCACCACGAGGGGACACTCACGAGCGGTATGCCATAGAGGGCGCTGTTGCTGATGAAGTTACTTACCTCGCCAGGTGGCGCGTAGGTTTTTCCCGTGCAGTCCCGCTAGTTGTCTCGCACGTTAGATTTTGCGTTAGCGGACAAAAAATGGCGCAAAAAATAATTCGGTGTAGAAAACTGCGCGACGAGTCTTATAGACGGCGCTGCATCGCGGGAGAGTACGGCGGGGTTAGAGGTCAACGTCGCTGGACGCCGGTTGTATGGGCGGCGTCGATTGTTTTTACTACTTGTTAGAATCGTGTTGAGGTATTTCTACATTAGACAGTAATTAAGGCGTGTGTGGTCTCGTATTTTAACGGATATCGTAACGGTTACAATCGTGTCGCGATGATGATGATTCTAGTTTCGACGTTTTCGATGTTGTCACGGTGTGCACTTGGGCAGCAGCAGCCGTAAAGAACGTGTGCGTGCGTGTGTATGTGTGCGTGAGTATGCGTGCGTGCACGTTGGTCCGACGTGGTGGAAAGGTCGTTCGCTTGTTGATAAGTCACGTGATCGCCCCTCGCGTGCGCGCGTGACCTTGTCACACAAGGGCGAAGGTCAATCATCTGTTGCCATCTTGTAGTTCCACCTACGGGCCCCGTACCTGTACTTGTGTATAGTAGGCGTCACTAGGAAGTTAGGAAGTGGTTACTATGTCTGCGCGCGTTGTCAGCAACTTTACATGCTGTGTGGTCTTAAAAAACGCAATGCGTAAATCATGATCTACGAAATAATTTATTCAAAAGCGCGTCGGATTTGTTCAGTCGTGGCGACGTCGCGCTAACGTCGACGAGATGTGATGACGCTGATGACACCAGCGCCATCGCGTGGTGATTGCACGTACTATGACTGTGCACTCGCATGGCACGCGCGCGCGTGATTCGTACCGTCTTCTACACCCCCGCGTGGTCCCGATGACGACGCGGATTTTTTTTTTTTAAGTAAGTGCGCAAAAGGTTGCTGACGGCAAGATACAATATCTGACCACAGGTCTGCTACGTTGCGTTGTACGGAGGTAGATGGCGTGACGGTCGGTTGTGACGTATGCCTCTGTCTTGTTTTGAACTGTGCCATGTTCTTTTATAGGCTGCGTGCACCACACGGATGTTTTGTGTGTGTGTGTATATATATATAACAGTAATACCTCATATTTGAAATGGAAAACGGAGAATATAATTAACACATGTATAAAAAGTTACTTCGCTTGTTCTGTGATTCATGAAGTTGTTGACCGTTGCTTTTTTGATGCATCGCAAACGTCACAATCAACACGTTAACAAACCCGAAACGAATGTAATATGAAAACCTTCAAGCCATCTCATTTTCTTCATTTTTATCCTCTCACTCTTGCTTCACTCCTTTCTTCTTTAATTTCTCTTCACTCTTTTCACTACTTCTTTCTTCTGTAATTTTTTCCAGTGTTATCTTTTAATTCTACTCCACTTGATCTTTATCCTTTAAATCGTCTATGTTCCTTTATCCTATAATTCTTCTGCGCTTCTTTATCATTTGATTCTCTATTCTCT